GATGTGTTGATCTTAATTGTTCTAATACCTTCTTTAAAAGGTTCTATTTGAGAGTCATACACCCTTTGATTCAGTTCTCCAAAGTCAAGTGCAAGCTTACCCATCACGAATTCAGGGGCTCCTGTGGTGTGGGCCAGACGGCCAGGACCGAGCGGTGTCCCCAGTGATGGAAACCAGCGGTCAGAACCCCACCTCGCCTGAGCTGGTAATTTGGGCAGGTCACAGGTTAACTCAAAAGCTATGACTAGTGGACACGTGTCCAACGTGGCTGTTGTCTGGAAGTCTGTGCATCCGGCAGCCAGAGTAAGTCAGAAGAGACACTGGTTCTAATGTTTCTCTTTAGCCAAACATGAAAGAGTTTAGGCAGAGATCATTAAGCAAATGAAGAAGGACAACAACAAAAGCGCACAGGGCACTCCTCGCCTGGTTCAGACATCACCTCTGTAGGGATGCGATCACTCCCTGCGGGCCAAGCTCCTGCTTCAGAGTCCAGGGCTTCTACCTACTTTAGCCATTGTGTCCTCCTCATGACCCCCTGCTACCTCCAAAGCCTGAGCGCCTCTTCCATCCATACCTGAGCTACTCCGTTTCTTACCTCCCTCAGTACTCGGTTTATAAATCCTGAGCATTACCATTTGCTCTTTTCCCCCTAAATTTGCATTTCCTCCCCCCTCCTTAAGCCACGCCCACTGCTCCTTTTGCATTCAAGACTATGTTACACAAGGGGGGAAGGTATAGCTCAGTGGTAAAGTGCATATGGAGCATGCACAAGGTCGTGGGTTCAATCCCCAGTACTGCCATTAAAATAAATACTAATTATCTCCACCACCACCACCACCCCCACTGGCAAAAAAAGGCTATGTTATACAACATTGTAATAAAAGACTATGCTACACAACATTGTAAATCAACTATACTTCAATAACAACAAAACTCAAAAAGTAAAATTTCAAAAACTGGGTTGGTTTGTGCCTACTCCTCTTGGAAGCAGACCTGAGGCTGGGGCATACGGTCCTGAGTGGTCCCTCCGCACTGCTCGGTTCTGGCTGTCTGGCCCCAACCACGGGAGTCCCAGAATTCGTGTCTGGCAAGCTTGCACTTGACCTCACAGAGTGAGTACCCACAGTGGATGGAGGCACACGTGAGTGACTGTTGGTTTGGTAGAAGCTGTTTAGTGCTAAAGTGGCATTGCTTTTCACTATAGAAAAATCTAGTAATATTTTTTCAGCACACAAGAAAGAAAATGCTATCTTGAAGCAAATGGATATATGTTAAGATGATGTAGAGTGCAACAGGAATTACTTTCTACATGATGCTTTGAAATAGAAGTTGAAAAGACAGTGGAGACATGAATGTGACTACTATCTCCCCACAGACGAGGGAGGGGAGCTGGTGTGTGCCCAGAGCTATGAGTCTACTGCCTTCATACACCCACATGCTAGTGATTTTTGAGTAGGATTAGAAAAGGCAAATTCCATAGCCCCAAAATAGCAGGCACTACTCAACTGATGAATAGGTTAGTCCACAAGACAGCTCCCAACTGCCTGCTGGCCCTACCCCAGTTAAAGGAACTTCCAGAAATAATCCTTCTTCCAATTGGATTATCTATGCAAAAGATTCTTTATTAACAATTTGCATCAGGGTTTGGCACATATCCATGAGCTAAATCCAGCCCACCTCTGGTTTTGGTAACTAAAATTTTCTGGCAACACAGCCCACCCCATCATTTTTGTATTGTCCATGGCTGCTTCCCACTATAATGACCCAGCTGAGTAGTTGTGACAGAGACCCTGTGGCCCACAAAATAAAAAATGGTCCTTCAGGGGAAAAGTTTGACAATGCTTGACCTACATAATTTAAAGAGAGAGTAGTTTGGTCAAACATGCTTTCTCCAGTGGGAAAGTAATAGGGTTGGATATATTCTTTTCTGAAATAAATGAGGGACCCAGGTCTCCCATCCTTCCCACTGGGGCAGACCTGGGCCTGGAATCCGGCTGGCTAAGGGAGCAGTAATGTCTGGTTACCAAGTAGAGTAACCATCTAGTCCTGGTTTTCTGGGGACTGTCGTGGTTTTAAAACTGAGCCTCATGTTCCAGGCAAACCAGGACAGTTGATCACCCTGACATGTAGTGAATAGCTTGTAGGGTCTGAGGCAGACTGACTTGGGTTCAAGTCCCACTTCTTTGACTTCATGCTGTGCAGCCTTGAGTAAATTACTTAATCTCTCTGAACCTCAGTTACCCTATCTATGAATTGGGATTGATTCGTTTTTGAGGAGATATGGTAAGGATTAAAGGGAATTATGCACAGAAGGAGCCTATGACAGAAGGGGCCCTTACTAAATATTCATTCCCTTCCTACCCTTTAGACCATTAAGGGCTAGTTTTTTCTTACTCAATCTTTAGCCAAAATTCCTCTTTTCATAAAACTATCAGAAGGGGTAATTCAACACCTTTCTTATGCACTCCATTTTCTAATGATGTCATTCCTTTGCCTTTTACAAATAAATGTCCTAATAAACAAATAACTTGTCCTGTAGTGGGGGAAGTAGCCCATACACGTAAAATTGCCTGATTTTCAACTTAACTGTTTTATGTTTTAAACATAAACACTTGCAGATGAGTGGTGGTTGAACTCTGCTCTGTCCAGTGATGGACACAACCCAGGAAGGTTTGCTGCGCCCAGATAAAGTAGTTGGTGATGCTCCAGGTCCACAGCCAGATGCTGAACTCTCGGGGAAAGAGGCTCAGGGACTTTTTTCTAATCTAGCATTTGTGCCTCTAATGGAGGATGTTGACAGAGGCTGTGAGCGCTACCTCTCTCATGATTCATCTGATGGTCACTATGACCGAAGCACTAAGTGGACCAACACGCTCATTAATTTTTTAAAGAGGTTAAGAAGACACAGACGGCAGTGTCCAAATCTGATAGCAACTTACATGTCGTTAAAGGTCCCCAGGATGAGATCCAAGGGACGAGACAACATTAATCTTATCCCAACTCACAGCATTTTGATTTAAGATCCAGTTGGTTAGCAAATGTGCAGGATGGAATTAAATAATATGTACTCCTGTGGTAGTTTATATTCCCAGTTACACTTAAAATCCTAGTTGGTCCCCAGCAAATTCAATTTCCTTCAATTTCCTGTAGCTATAGGACTTTGAGAAATCAATTATTTTTTTTACTAAATGAATCCAAAACTATCAGCATTTTAATTTAATGCTCAGTTTCTTAGCAAATGTATAAGATCGAATTAAATAATGTGAACTCCTGTGGTAATGTATAACTTAAAAAGTTCCAAATACCTACTCAATCATGGCTGATTCCCAACAAATTCAATTTACTTGAGTCTGTGGCCATGTGATTTTAATAAATCAAATTTTTTACCAAATTAATTGGTCAAATCAGTCAAAATTTACAAATTCTGTGAGAAAATAAGTCGGTTGATTGGCTGATTTTAATAGCTAATGCAGCAAAATGAGTCAAATTATTAGCTCAGAATACTTACTTTAATAATACTTACTGCTTTAATTTGATTTAAACTATAAGCATCTGTTTGCCTTTTCGATTAGGAAAACACCAAAAAGCACTGGTCTCCAAACTTGGCTGTGCCTTAGAACCATCTGGGGAGTTTTCGAAACTTCCAAAGCCTAGGCCACACCCCTGGTCAATTAAATCAGAATCCTGGTGGGTGAGACTCAGGCTTCAGTCCCTTTGTGAGCTTCCCAGGTGATTGGGAACCACTGACATCAAATAATTAGAGTTCAAAGTTCAAATAATTAGAATGAAGCCATGGTAGTATGTTTTGCATTAAGGTGGAAACCCAAGTTGAAGGAGAAATGAGAATGAGACTTTGTAATAACATAATAGTAATTACTGTAAGCGAGTAATTTATTATATAATTTGTTATTGTTCTGTAAAAGATGATAGCTATGTATTGAGTTCTATCCAAGTGCCAAGCACTGTGCCAGGCATTTTACATGGATTATTTTATTAAATTCCACACATGTCCTCAAAGCCTTATAAAGTCAGTGTGATTATTGCGCCCGTTTTACAAATGGGGACACTGAGGCACAGGAGGTTAAATACTTGCCCAAGGACACACATCTAGCAAGTGGTCAGGTAAGAGCCGGCACAAAGCCGTGCGAATCCAAAGCCTGTGAGTGAATTGTTTTTGAAAAGCAGTGACTTGAAACTCAGTGCTGCTTTAGGTCTTTGGACATCACAATCTTATTTCTCTGGGGTATTGTTTTTTGGGGTTTTTTCCACTTTTCTTTGTTTCTGGATGCAAAGGCCTCTCCAAACAGCGCACAAAAGCAATTCCTGATGCCCCTGAGAGAGAGGTAGGCCTGGATTTATGCATATAATAGGCAGAGGAGTTAATATTCTGCATTAAGAGCTCCCTCTGTCTCAGGGGAGTTGCTGGCAGACTTAAAGCACTCTCAGGCAGCAGAAAGGAAACCTGAAACAAAACCCCCACCTGGGGGAAAGACGTATGTGCTGAAACATCTTTAAAATTTAATTGAAAAAGAGAAAGAATATAATGGAGCTTCCCATTCACCGAAAATCTTGTTATTTCATAAAATCTTCAGTGCTGACCTGTCAACCTGTATGGGCTTGCTTTTAAAGTTTTGGGGGTTTGGGTTTTTTTTTTTTTTTTTTTTTGGAGGTAGGCCGTCTCGGTAACATGTATTCAATACCAGCCGAATTCTTAACATTCAGCTGATAAACATTAACATTTGAGGTTGCATAATGAAAAATAAAACAGAAAGAAGAGAGATGAAAATACAATATAATGTCATGGTCGTTTACAACAGTTTCCTGCGACAATTACAGCTCTGCACACTCATCTCTGAATTGTGTCTTCTCTTGCCTTTTCACATAAAAGCTGAGAGAGGAGATAAAACTGCCCTGAGAAGCTCCCCCAGGACCGAGGCCGACCGTCAGAGCAGAATCCGGGCCAGTCTCAGCAGTTGTGTTTTCTCACGCAGCCCACTTACCTCAGGAGAGTAGTTCTCCTTCTGAGCATCGCCCAGACCCAGCACAGCCCCGGCCGGGAGGAGAGCGGGGGCTCTGCGCCTGCCCCGCAGCCGCCAGGCCATTGCCAGGATGGGACGGAGCCTGCAGCCCACGGCAGGCCGGGCGCCCGCCACCCTGCCAGGGCACCTTGGCCTTGGAAGGGACCAGAACTCCCCTGCAGCCCCAGGCAGGGCTTCGGAGGGAGCAACCCGCGTCCCGGTGGAGGGCTGGGTCCCGGAGCTCAGTGCTGCCAGGGGGCGTCCTGTTTCCAGGTGGAGCTGCGCACCTGTGGAATGTGCACCCACCTTCCAGAAGGGTGAAAGCGCTGGGCGCCAGCCACGCTCGGCTTCCAGAATGTCACCTCCCACTTCTGGGGGGAAACAGACCAGGACTGCGCACGAGCCGGACCCCATCCCTAGTCTGACTGTGTGGGAGCAGAGCACGGGGTCCGTTTTAATTTCCTCATAGGCTTCCTTCTTTAAAGACAAATTTTCTATAGTGCTTTCTAAATAACACTCATGTTTGCAAGTTTAGGAGCGTGGCCGGGGGAGAATGTGAGTCTTGTAGCTAGCAGAAAACTCAGGAGAAAAATATTTTAAGGAGATGATGTCAAAAGACTGAACAAATCCCGAAGGAAAAGCCAGGCAGGCACCACGAACACGGAGGTTGCCTGAATCAGCTCTCCCCGGAGGCTCGCGTCCCCCCTCCACGTCGTGCAAAGGAGGCAAAGGTCGGCGCCGGCCCAGCCCCGGGCCGTCCCGGAGACGGTAGCAAGCG